ATCTTTTCTATCGTACACTTTTAAGTTTTCTGCAAGTTTTTCATTTCTCTTGTATAAGCCTACATTGGAGCATTTAGATCAAAGCACGATTTAATTTACAAGTTTATTTTCAGGTTCTATTCCTCTATTGTTATTTCTTTTTGAAAATTTATCTAATGATGTATGCAAATATTTTAATTGAATCTATTGTTTGTTTTCTCACTATGAGTGAGTAGTTCCCTAAGGTCTAAGGGTCTTGAACCCTATCGAGGATTATCCATAGGAATTATTCTAAGTTAATTACGAGAATCCCGACATTTTTTTATTTTAAAAATTTGAGTTTTTGAATTAAAACCTCTCTACGAAAGTAGGAGTGTTCTCAGGTATTTACAGTAGTCTGAAAAGATACACGTGAATGCCCGATAACAGGTTTTTAAACAATCAAATCCAATGTCACGAAAGTGCTTGGATGAGATTGAGAAAATGTTTCATATTTTAACAGTTGTGCAAAATTAATGATCACTGACGAACGCTTCTGCACAAGTGAAAGTCGACGAGCGTCTCGTTCGTCCGACGTAGGGCAATACGCTGGAGAAAGCATGTATTGCCCACAATAGCCTATTTTTCTATAAAACTATGTCAAAATTCTCGTGATAAAAATACTTAGGCCCTATGGAAACATCATAGATAATAGTCATGACCCTAAAGTATTGTTTGTTTTATAATCTTCAAGTTATTCAAAATTAAGTTGTTTTCAAAAAGTGCTTTTGAAAATAAGTTATTTTAACGTAAGTGATTATTCACTTAAGATTGTTTGTTTACAACCATTCGATTTCTCTAGCTTTACAATGATAGGATAAAATTTGGTACTTAACCATTGGTCCTTGTGGATTTAATACTTTTTACTACTCTGACATTAGTCGTGCGCTTGCGGTGTGTCAAATACAAATTCCATGGCATTCATCAATGCAAGTTCTCGATCTGTCACCGAAACCTTTGGTAGAAATTTCTCTGAAGAGAACAACTCTTTAAGCTTCTCTAGTGCGCATGTTAAATTCTCCTTTTATTCATGTTCCAAATAGGCAAAGGCAATTGAAAACATCAACTTCGTTGATGTGACACCAACAATCTCAAGCAATAGTATCTGGTATCCGCACGATCAAAATGCACATAACCAAACAGCTAACTAAAAATCTTCAACATATTTTAGGATGTTAAAAGTAAAGTTCTTACCTATTTATCTTGTACGTGCAATTAAATATTAACACCAGATAAAACATATTCAACATCTTCATAGAATCGAGATGTATACAGAAGATATCAGCTAAATATCCAAGTTGTCCCTATTTCTAATCCTGACGCATGCATTTCTCTTTGTGAATAAGGCTCAATAACATTTTCATTTATGTCAATGTACCTCTCCTACCCATTCAGTATGTTGATCTAGCTTTATACACCTGGATAATACTCGTGAGGTTTTCTGGATTTTTATTTTTCAAAGCAGAAATTATAAACCTTGGAGACATGTTGTACTTTGTCATGTCATTCAAAAAATTTATTTCATGATCTTTTAGATGACCCAATATGTCATGGCCTTCCAAATCCATATCTATTCTATGATTGTATATCTTGTATCTAACCATCACCTTCCAACTGATACCACTTGGAACAAATCTCAGTCTAAACAGACATTTAACCTTCATATTATAAATGCCATCAGAGGAATTAGTGGTTTTAGATGCACTTTTTCTTTTGTAATTTCCTTATCCCTCACAATTTATAATTAATTTATCCTTCCTCCCTCGCATTCCATTAGCAGAATTAGAACGAACACTAACAACAATAATACTATATTGTTTATAAGTAGTCTGTGTCCATGCTAAAACTTAAAATCGAGAGTTAAAAATATGTTAATTACAACATATAATTATTAAACTTTATCAATTTCATAAATGACGAAAAACAATTAAAACCGTACTAATTCAATACGAAACATATGATATTTGTGGTGAAGAACTATGTATAATCTGTACACAAATTCGTAGAAGAAATTGTCAGTTCTAGACCATATAGATATAAAACTTTATCTACAGATGTAATGCCCCGATTTTATTTAAATTATTTTTCATAATTTAATTATGTGGTGTTGTGCATTTATATGTGTTGATGAGTGTTTTGATGTGTTGTGATGCCCTTGGTGTGGGTAGTTTCCTTAGAAATATAGAGATTAAGGTGTTGGGGAAGTGTGAGTAATTGTGTAGAACAAGAGGATGGTGGAAGCGAGTAGTTACTAGCATTATTTAATTAAAATTTGAGAAATTAAATAATATTAGTAACAGTTAAATGATTATTTAGTTATTTAATTATTTAGTGAGATTATTTTATTATTGGAGAATAATAATAATAATAACAATAATAATAATAGAGGTAATATTAGTGTAGAGCTATTGGGGGCTTGTTGGTAATTTTAAGAGGAGTAAGTTAGGAAATAATGAGAATAGCATGGAAAGGGTCCAAGAGTAAAAAGCAAGGAAGAGAGGAATCACTTTTGTAGGGTGATCGTGGAAAGCAGAGAGGGGAAGATCGTGTATTGGAGAAAAGAAAACAAAAGAGAGAAGGGAAAGCTAGAGCTTGGAGAAGAATCCATTGTAGAAGTTTTGGAACCATCAATCTAAGATAAGGGTGGAGTTCTAACTTCCTAAGGATATTGTATAATGATGGGTATGTTAGGGGTTATGATTGCTATAGTTCATGAATTTGCTCTTTTGTGTGATTGAATCAACGTGATAAATTATTGACATGTGAGTGATTAAATTGATGTAATTGATGTCATGTAATGAGTAGTAATGTTGTGTAGTATGTATGTATGATTATGGAGTTGAATGACATTATTTTGATTGCAAATGTGGAGTTTTGGGGTTGAAAATACTGATTTTCGTACTTAAAGCAGCAACAAAACTGCTTCTAGAAAGTGGAAATTGATTACCCCTTTTGGGAAATCGATTTCCAATTCAAAAATTGGGAAAGTTAGCTTTCGGAGTGGAGGAAATCGATTTCCTGAAAAGGGGTAATCGATTTCCATCAGTTCTGACAACACTTTTGTAAAACTTCAAAAATTCATAACTTAAGTTTCGGGTATCCGTTTGATGCGCCGTTTGAATCTGTAGAAAGCTAATACAGCTTACTTTCCTGTAAGAATAGTTTCAAGTTTATGGAACTAAATTTAATTGGTGTGTAAAAAGGTTTTGTGATGTTAGTGTATGTTGCACTAAGTTGCTGGTGTTTGCATTTTTTTGAAAACTTTAAAAATTCATATCTTGAGTTTTAAGTGTTTGTTTGATGCGCTGTTTGAACCTATGGAAAGATAAAAACATTTTATATTATATAAAAATATTTTTGAATACAGTGTGTGAGTATTTATTGGGAGGCTTATGCCTTTTGTATGAAATTGTCTAATATGTTTTAGATGTGTGCATGGAAATTTGTGTGATTGTGCTATATAATATTGTTTGAATATTATGGATTGCATGCTGCACGGGTGAACAGTTGGTGGCCTATAATGACGTGTTACATTGATGGATATGAATATCAATCTGTTGTATTTTGTTGCATGTTTATGTCATATGCATTCATAGTGAGGACTTTAGTCTTGTTGGTGTGCTCTGGTCTTAAGGTGGGGATCAGGAGCAATGTGAACCTAACGATTCACGATATTGGTAGGCTCTGATCCTATGATGGGGATCGGGAGCAAGGTGAACCTATTTTTTCACGGATGGTACCATATTCATTGAGTATGTAAGTCAGTCTCATTGCATTACATTGTCATTATCATAAATGTTGAGCTGTGTGGTTGGTCTATGTGTTATGCAGTAATTTGATGATACATGTTGATAGTGTGCGTGATTATATAATTGAGATGTAAAATGATTGTTGTAGATTGTGTGAAGGTGTGAGATGTGGAGTGTGTGACTATACATGAATATATCTGCTGTCTACTTATTATTATACATTCCTTTATACTGTTGTGATATCTCATCCCTTCTGATATTATGTTGCCTCTATGTGGGCAACATGCAGATAATCATGAATAGTCTGAGGCTGCAGTTGTTGGAAGAAGTTGCTCTTTGTTTTATTTCGGTTTGGCGTCATTGCTCTGATACGTAACACCATGAGGGGATGAACACTTAGTTTTTTTATTTTTTATTTTAATGAATTATTTAGAGTCTTATGAACTCCTTAGTGTTTGAATAAATGTCAAATTATTTTTGGATGATTTTGATTCAATTTTAAGTATGATTCTTTTTCTGTTGCTTAATAATGAAAGTTAAAGTTGAAGACCATGATGTGTTATTTTTGGTTAATCCATAATTGTTTTATGAATCTTATTCATGTTATGAGCAGATTAAGTATGGTTTTGAAAATATAGCAACCTAATTGTAAGTTGAACATTTTAAAATTACTCTGATTTTAATTATTATTCTTCGGAGAAAATTAAGAAATTACAACAGACATACCATAAATTTTAAGCTTTTGCAAAATTCCAGATACACTGAAAATTTGAAATTTATGATATAATATGTAGCCTCCCAGAAGTTTTGGAAATTTCCTGAAAGTTCATAAGTTTCTTTAAATCGCCTCGAAAATTTTGAAATTTCCGATAAATCACCAGCAAAAATTTGGCAAACTCAAACAATTTCTAATAAATACACAATTTTAATAACGAAAATTTCGATTTTCACCCCTTAATCAATAGTAATTTTTGTTGACAAATATAATTTTTCTAGAGGTAAACAGTAACAAGAGTATTTTTGGAATAAAAAAATTGGAGAGTGTCAAATATAATATGGGGGTGATAGTCCAACAATTAGGCCCAAGACCGTTGAAGCGTTTCTAAGATACGACGTCGTGCAAGAGCAAGTCGTTTTCCAGAAGCAAATAGAAAAATGCGCAGTGTTGGGGAAATAGGGAATTGAGGGAAAGATTGTTCCGACGAATCTGTGACAGGAAAACAAAACGAAACGATGATTAGCATTCTCGCCCAGGTACTTCCTTCCCACAATCAACCAATTTCAATTTAGGATTCTCTTATTTCAATCGGCGAGTTTTGATTTGTTGAAATGGTTGTAATTCAACACAGGAACGGTTATTGGGAGCTTCCCTGGGTGTGATATTGACGAGTGTGATTGTTTTTGAGCAACGCAGATACATCTTCGCTTCTATATCCGATTCCCCATCTCACTCTCAGGTTAATTGCTTTTTGTTTGGCTTTCTACTGTTTTTTTTTTTAAAGAAGAATTTATTAATTTGGTAATTGGCTTTATAATTAGATGTTTATGTTTGTCTTTGTTCATGATATGAACTTTTCAAAAAATGTTGGATTATAATGAGTTTATCCTAACTAGCTCAAATCTCTGAAGCACTGACACAGACAAAAATACGAACACCATATGGATACGACACTGACACATTGACACCGATAGTAATTAGTAATTTGATATACTTTTACTCTCTTCTATCAATAATTTTGAAAGTCAATATGTTCCATTGATATTATATTTTCAGAATTCACTGGCTTGAGTTAATTTGCATTTGAAATACTGGGTATTCATTCCATCAATGTCACTGCTGACTTGTTGCACATTTCATGTTTTTTAGATTCTAATCTTTCAGCTTTCATGTTCTACCAGGTTAAAGAACCTATATTTGGAAAGAAATCACGTTCTGAATTTGCACATTCATGGAACAAAACTGTGGATCAGACATTTGGACCTTTGATAAAGTCTCTCAGCTCTCGCGGATGGTAGAGATGTTGTGATTTTTTTATTTTTTTTATTTTTAATAGTACTATCTTTTTGTGATTGTGATATCAGAACACGCAGTAATTTATCTTCACATTCTATATTTGTTTGTCAAACTAGCTGTGCTGACAAATGTAATGTTATTTGCAATACTCGTAAGTTCCTTCAGTATATGCATCAAAATACCTGATTTTTCTTCTTTAAACTCTACTGGTTTCTGAGTATTAGAAATTACTACTGTTACCTGTTGTCAATAAAAACCACTAAATGATTCACTTACTGGTTATCATTGTACTAGTATATGGTTCTTTGGCTTTGAAGTTTGGGTTCTAGTTGTAGGGGAAAATGCTTCGTTATGAATATAGCATTAGGTTAGAAATTGCATAGAAATTGATCACATTGAGGGATATAGATAAAATAGATCTTGAAGAATAAGCCACTTCAATATTGTCTTATGTTTTGGTGCAAATACTCTCAACAACAACAAATCAAGCCTTATCTCACTTAATGAGATTCAAATACTCTCAATTAGAAGAGAAAAACTTCCCTTATGAAATTCATTTATCAATAGGAACCTCAATAGGGCTTGCTCCTTCTTCATATCTACACAAGAATAAAGCATTATCTTTTGCTATTAACCTGATAAATGGAGTTGAGTTGACTTAAAGAAAGTCTTTTTGTGCTCCTCATATACCCAAAATGAAGCCTTACTTTTCTCTACTAATGTGTTAAATGGAGTTGAGTTGGCTTCAGTGAGTCTTTTTTTCCTTCTTGTCTACTGAGAAATGAAGTCTTACCTTTCGCCACTAACTTGTTAAATGGAGTTGAGTTGGCTTCAATGAGTCTTTTCTCGTTCCTATCCGCTCGAAAATGAAACCTTACGTGTCGCTTATGCTACTAACATGTTAAGTGGAATTGAGTTGCTTAAAAAAATTCTTTTTGTCCTCTTATATAACTTTTGCCAGTAGCCTGTTAAATGGAGTTGAGTTGGCTTCAATGAATTTTTTTCTTCTTTTCTACTTGGAAATGAAGCCTAATGAAACCTTACCTTTCAATCATTAACTTGTTAAATGGAGTTGAATTGGCTTCAAATTAGTTTTTTTTTTTTTTTTTTACTCCCTCTGTTTCAAAATGACTGTCGTTTAAGGTTTTGCACACAAATTAAGAAATACAATAATGTTGTCATAAAATATTACACTTTTACAAAATTAACTTTATTAATATATTGGAAGTAGTGTCTAGAGTAAAAAGTAAAGGGCATAATTGGAAATATGGTAATCATTACTACATTGAAAAGTGAAAATGACAATCATTTTGAAATAAATTTTATTTATTAAAACGACAGTCATTTTGAAACAGAGTGAGTAATATTTTAGGCAAAAAGCTTATGAATTTTTTTTGTTTATAATTAAAGTGCTCTGATGATCAATCTAAAGTGTCTCGAGTAGGTAGATGCAACCTGTCTCCTATTTTTTCCATCTTTTATAATTGAAGCTGCAACAAATGAGGCAACACAGATTTTATACTTTCTTTTACAACAACAAAAAACATGGTAAATATGGTAGGACTTAATTTTCTTTAAAATTTTCTAAAGCAAATACTAGCAAGTGTCTTAAAGACATCTGTTAAGGAACTAAATTAATTGCACAAATTTTATTTTCCAAGGGGAGTAATCAGAGTGTATATTTGGTACTCCCTCCGTCTCACAATAGATGTCTTCTTTCCTATTTTTATTTGTATCAAATTATTTGTCCATTTAGAATACTAATGTGATATTTATTATTTTTTTCCACTAATTTATCCTTATTGTATTTTAATTCATGTAACTACTCCATTACCTAATATTAATAAGGTTGTTTTAGTAAATGAGATTCATTTTATCATTGAAATCAACATAATTAATCTTTATTTTAAAAAGTGTGAAAATCTCAAAGAGGACTATTGTGAGACATAGGGAGTATCACATCGAGTTTGATGAAATCACAATCATAGTAACATTGTGATTTTGTTGAAACATCAAAGTGATTCTTCCTAACTCAAAGTCAAACCAAACAAACATTACAATGAATTTGTTCTGACTTTTCCCTATAAAACAGAAACTCTCTCCATTTCATATGATTCTCTCTTATCTCTTTCCCAGGCTCTTTATCAACCTCCACCATAACAGCTTTCACAGCCTCCAACAGTTTCTCTTTCTGAATAAACCCATCTTCATCATTCCTATTCACCTCTATCCCTGCTTTCAAATCATCAGCAACAAGCTTAGAATTCAAAAACTGATCTCCCTTGAAAGGTAACAGCACCAACTGACAATCATTAACTATAGCTTCTATCACAGAACTAAAACCAGCATGACACACATAACACCCTACACTTGAGTGATTTAAAACAAGTTGCTGCTGCAACCAACCACTATGCACAATTCCTCTATTCTTCACTCTCTCTATGAAGCCTTTTGGTAATGCTCTTTTCAACTCAACCTCAGCATTCAAATTTGATGGAAAATTCAAAACCAAAATGAAAGGTAAACTTGTGAGTTCCAACCCAATTGATAGTTGGTTGATTTGATCATCACTTAGAAATGTTTCACTGCCAAAGGAACACAATATGACTGACTTTGTTGGAAAATTATCTAATCATTTTGTCCTTTTTTCATCAAGCCCTTCCATTGATGGCTCTGGAACAAGTACTCCAGAACAAAGAACTGGTTTTTTAAGATGGTTTTGAAAATAGTCTATATAAGGACCTTCTATTTCCCTGCAACTTTTCAACACTACTAGTGAGCATTCACCGAGTATCTGCGTGACTCTATCAGAAACAATTGGGTTGTCATCAAATCTCTGGAACATCATCGGAAAGATCATTTTGGCTTGGAAGGTTTGAAGGGAAGTTTTGGATTTTTGAGGATACCCAAATGGAGGATTTTTAAGGTCCTCATAAGTCATGTTTCTTTTTTCAGAAATTCTTAAATGTGGAGATAGATAAGAAGTAGAAATTGCAGAATAGACAGAGAAGCGAACAGATTTGATGCCAAGTTTAGAAGCTATTTTTGGTAGCCAGTTTTGTACGAAATCAAAGAAAACAAAATGAGGTTTAAGTTTCGCCAAAATGGTTTTGACCTGATCTTGCATTAAGTCTATTGTTTGAAAGAGTGTTCATGCATGTCAGGGGGCAATTCAGAAGTGTTATTGGCTATGCTATTTGGGAAGTTAAGGGGAATGCTTTGGATGTCAGGGTTGAGATTGAAGGTTGATTTGATTATGGGATGTTGTATGAAGGTGACAAGAATGGGATATGAATTCCATGAGAGAATAATCTGTTGGATAGTTGAACAAATGGACTAGTGACCAAAACCAAGGTAAGGAAACATAACTATATGAATCTTGCTAATACTCATCTTTGCTTAATTGATTTTTCAGACGTTGCTCTTTTAAACATAAAGATAATATTTACAAATGGACCATTTAATATGACACCAAGTGAGTAATATTAAGTCAAACGGTTATGTTTCTTTGACACTAAAATCTAACACCCAACCCAACCTCGTATCACATACTCATTTTAGTTTTATATTAATTTATTCTGTCTCCTAAAATCAAGATAGCACTTAAAACCTGCTCTTGTATGCGGTATACTATACGGTGTAACGGCTACGGTGTTGATTTTTGATGTCAATATAGAAGCTCTCATACTTTAATATGACACCACTCGAGTAATATAAAATATTTGAAATTGTTTGACTTTGATGCTTCCATGAGATGTGAAATGTTTGTCTAAAGCAAAGCTTGTAACCACACAAAAAAACTTCAACTCCAAGACACAGACCAACACTTCAACAACAACAACAATATACAATCTCAAAAACACAATCCTTAGCCAAATATATGTAGGTAATGTGGAGAGTTCTTTAAGTGTGTGCTAAGATCGATCAAGACTCTTGTGTTTCATGGTTATGATTTGATGATCAGATCATGTTAAATCAGCTATAAGTTGTTGTGGGAGTGGACAAAGAGTGGAAGAGAAATATTTTGGATGTGAAAAAAAGTAGAAGATCGAATCATATTCTTAAAATTTGTAGTGGAGGAGGACACATTTAATGTTATTAGTACTTATGCAACTCAAGATGGATTAGCAAGACATCTTAAGGTAAAATTTTGAGAGAATTTAGAAGACTTACTTCAAGATATATTTCAAGGAAAAAATTGTTTATTAGGAGGGGATCTAATTTGACATGTAGGGAGCGTAGCAAGAGATTTTAAGGACATGTATGTGGGGTATGGTCTCAGAGAGGTAATTGGGGAGAGAGAATCGAATGGAAATGATTCAAACAACTTGAGGTAGAGGAAAACCTAAAGAAATTCTAAGAGAAGTTATTGAATTTTTTCTCTTGAGATTAACGATTTGGATATAAGCTTGGTCTCAGATATAACATCATGGCAGGAGTTGACCCATGTAGTCGATCTCACTTAGTTGGATAAGGTTTGGTTGGTTGGTTGTGGTTGCGTGGGGGTGTCAACTCCAAAATGGATAAGTCACTAATATGACTAACGATCACATGTATTCAATTGGTAACATCCCATCATGTAACAGACTAGAGAATAAAAGTGGTGACTAAGATCCTCTTCACTTGGCGTTGTGAGATGAAACCGACTAACACAGAGGATAACGAATGGGCAGAGATGAACGAGAAGGCCGCAAGATTGATTCACCTATATGTTTCAAAAGAAGTGAAGTATCATATCTTAGACCTAACTGTGGATCTATTTACTTTTAGGTATAGTCAAGATGATCAAAGATGGTGAAGCTTAAGGATAGCAAAATTGCAAGTCAAATCAGTAGTAGATGTTTAGCTTTGATGATGAAGATAGCTTAAAAGATTAAAAAATGAACAAGATGGTTGATTAAGTTATCCTCTCGAATCAAGTTGTTCTCTTGAAAATTAAAACGTCTATTTTAAGTCAACGCTGCGGTGAAACAAATTTCAAGTGAAGACTTATGTTTCAAGGAACAATATTAGTTTAACCTCTTTAACTCTCAGATGATGGTAATTAACATGAAGTGTCTCAAGTCTCATTAAGAAGATTCAAGGTTCTTGGATGCTGATCCCAAAGATAAAGATGTCAATACTTGAAGCTTTAGAGTTTTGAAAGAGAAAAAGTGTGAAAACTCGTCTGGTCGTGTTCGTTTGAGTGATCAATGTCTTGTAAAGAACAAGAGTTTTTTGTTGTTGGAAATACTACGACTATATCACACATATACAAATATACACTAAAAACATTTGATAAGTCTCTCATATTTTATTTAAATCACCCAAAAATGTTTTTCAGGCCTAGCTGATTAGGGGAGTGTCTGATTGATTGGAAGACCTTTTTTTAACTAAATAATTGATTATACTAAGAGAATAAGGGAGAGAACATGAAGGCGGAAATACTGCTTGAGTGATAGGGAAGATAAACTTTCAAGATCAGTTTTGCAGGATTATCGACAATTAGGATGAGTAAGCGTAGTTAAAATATCTTTGTTAGGGATTTCATTAACTAAATATATGTATATTTTGTTTATAATCACTAACCCATTAAAATTTAGAGTTAGTTCTGTTTTTACTAGTTTATGCGAGGTAAGATTCATGTAGAACAATTGTTATCCGACTTCGAAATAAAAAGAATCGCATGCAAAAATCTCAGTTAAAATAGGAAAAAGAAACAAAAAGTCGAAAGAGTTAGATTTAGAGGAGTCTTTTGTCTCAAAACAAAGAAACATGACTGGACTCGACACCAGCAACAATGATAATGGAAGCAACAGTTATGGCACACCATGTCAGAATAGTCCCTTACATGTTGTTCACTTAGGTAGAACATAAAGGAATGTTTGACAGTGTGAAATGAAAACACTTATTAAGAACTATGTACGCTAATTATTTTGCAGGTTTAAATCATGAAGACCCATACACACACCTCACAAAATTCTACAAAATTACTAGTACGCTAGGAACTCCTGAAAATGAGGAAGACGCAGTATTCCTACAATTGTTTCCACACTCTTTTATTAACAAAGCAAATGAATGGTATTTATCATTATTTCAAAAAATATGTTTTATCTGTACAAGTATATCTTCAGGTGTAAGAAGATTGAATAGGGGCAGCTGTTGCACCCTAAAATTTTCCCTCTCATTTCTCAAAGAATCACCCTGGATCCTCAAGTTTTCTTCCATCCAATTCCAAGTCTTGAACTAGAAATTTTTCAAGAAAATCACTCACAAGGGCAAAAAGGTCATTTGCACACTGAAAAGTCAAACTTTGACTTTTGAATCAAAATCAAATCTCAAAAAATCATATTTCATCAAGACATGTTGGAATATGAAGTTTTGTTTCATCAAGAAATTCAAAAGTCAAATTTTACTTTGGAAAAGTCAAATTCTAAATGCTTAGAAATTTTTCTAAGTGTTTAATTTCAGAACTTCTGACCAGATTATCACCCTAACACTCAGCAAATTCTGGATATTCTCAAGACAAAGTTTGGTCAGAGCTTCTGGGCAAGTTTTCACAAAAGTTCAGTCAGAGTTTTCCAGGGAAATTCAAAAAGGTTACAAAGCGTGTTACAAACTTCCTGGAGAGCCTGGAAACTCCTTCAGAACATGCTGGAGCCAGAAGATACAAAGATCAGAGGTTGGATGCTACGCTGAAGCAGAACTTCTGATCCAGAACTAAGCCTTGGTGTAGAATCTCACGTTGCAGGATTTTTGGTTGTGATAAGTCTCATCGTCATTTAATGCTCACAACCACTTTCTGAGTCTTTATCCAAAGGATTTTCACCACGTGTACCTCTACTGTCTTGGGATATCAAACTTTGGTACTAGGCGCATGCTTTGCTTTTCTTTTCCTTAAATCCTGCTGACAACTCCAGCTTAGGCATGGTTAAAAGCTGCTAATCAGTAGCTAGTTCAGCCACGCCTGCATCCCATAATTGCACCAAACTAGCATACGAAAACAGTGATGAAAAAGCAAGGGAGCAGGATACCAAATTGATTTTAAAATCCTATTTGTCTTTCCCCCCAAAATCACAACAAATTCACCTATAAATACTTTGCTCCATCACACGTTCAAGGGGCTGGGCTTTGAAGGAGAGGCTGGCTTTGGAAGAGAGATTGGTAAAAAAGGGAGAAAAAAAGGAAGTTGAAACCTTCATAAAAAATCTAGAAATCCCAAACAGAAAACCAAAACTTTGTTCTTCCTTTTGAATCAAAGAGCTTGACACTTCCTCTTCCATTACTCTTGCTGATTCTAGAACATCCAAAGGTAGCAACTCAAAGCTCCAAGCCCACGTTCCAGGTTCAAGGTAAGTCCTTCTGACTTTGTATTCTTTCATTCAGAACATCATTAAACATGTAAATATCATAGTATTGATTTTGTCTATATAATTGCATGAATAGAAAAACTATGGGTCAGAACTTCTTGATTAAGGCTAGGCTCAGGATCAGGATTAGAACTTCTGTAAACTGTTGTGTTTTTTATTCTTCTGATTTGCTGTTTGTTGAAAACTGAATAGATTACTGATGTGCTGATTGAGAGTTGAAATATAGCATAAAATTTCTGATGTTCATCCATAGTCTTAACATACATAATTTCTAGGATTTTCTCACTGTTTAAGCACGCAGAACTTCTAAGCTCTCTTCACTGTTTTAACACACAGAACTTCTATGATTTGTCTCACTGTTAACACACACTGAACTTCTGAGTCTTACATGTTGATAACGCACTGAACTGCTAATGTTCATTGTAACGCCCCGATTTTATTCGCGTCGTATTTATTTTATTATTTTTGGAATTATTAATTAATATCGATTTCGCAAAAATATGATATTTTAGCCGGTATAATTACTATTGTTTTCAGCGATATTTAATCGGACCGGAAATTATTTATGCGGGCTTATTTAATTAATTGATGTGTTAGTAATATTAATTGATGTGTTAGTAATATTAATTGATTAATTGGAATTAATATATTATTATATGGTGTTATGATATTATATGATTTATAGAAGTGTGGTGTATATATATAGTATAATATTATATATGTATGTTAGTAGTAGTATTATATATATGTTAGACAGAAACAAAAAAATAAACTATGC